CATTTAGTAATAGTTCAGATCACAGCCGTACTTTAGAGCTTTTAAACAACGTTTTTACGATTTTGCACACACTATGCTTGGTATAAATTAACGCAGTTTATGCTAATGTGCCAATGAATGTAGGAATTTAGGTACATTGCTCAAATCTTGCTGAGGTGTTAAATTGCCCAAAGACTGTCAGTAGATATGTTCGCAAGCTTTGTGCTACCCAAGCTTCGAACAGTTTTATTATGAATCAGTTCGAAGAAATTTTATGTTTTTGTGATTAATATTGCAAGAATGGTAGAGGAGAATTGATTCAAGCGTCAGACAATTTCGTTTTTAGTATCATGGCTTCTTAACGAACGATGTGAGAGCCAATAATACTTCTCGTTGCTCATTCTGCGGACAGCATTTAGCAGTTTTTAAAACACTTATGCCGGCGGTAGAATAGGACCAAGAAGGATAATATATGTGACTTTTTCCAAAACACAATGTCTCGTCCTTGCTGTGAACAAAGTGGAGTTTCCATATTCTACCGACTATCGAAATTTGCCTACGCAATTGCATATCTCTGATTATAGCGGATAAGTAATTGAATTGCGGTTAGAAAAAGACCTTCAGCTTCGATAAACGTAGCGTTCTGGTTTTAACCTTACTTTTATTTAGTCTGCGATTGCACCTTGAGGGCAAGTAAATGAGGAATAGGAGAGGCAATTTTGCCTGTCTGTGTCTAAAACATGCTTTCGCATTATCCATAATATCACTCTAGTTACTCCATTTTATGGATTCATGAAAATTTCAAACGTAAATATTTTTAATAATTATTCGTATGTTTATTTACGTCTACGTAAATTGCGCTTTGTCTTGTACGGCGTTGAAATGGGGTAGATAATAGAGTTATATTCCGCCAACATCAGCTAAGTGCTTGAGGGTGCTGGTACAGTATCTAATTAAATATTACTATCTGTTTCCATTAAAGCCAATCTTCTCATCCCTTTTTCAGGTAGCGAACACAATCGTCAGTCAGACTACATTCGTCTTCAACAGAAATTAGTAAGGCCACCTCTTCCGCCTTCGCATCATGCCTCGAACCCTGACCAAGAGGTCTGCGGGGGCCGAAATAAGTACAACTGCCGCGGCTGACTTAGTGCTTGTAGACGTCTTCGAACACTCAAATGTCATTCCACCGACCGCTGATCGGAAAATAAAAGCTGATCTACTGGCTTTCGATGTTCCCACGACGCCTACTGAAAGCTCTGTAAATAGTCAAAATTGTACGCCCGTAGGAGCAATGAGTCGTGACCCCCTGGCGGCAAAGCCGGTTGCTCGAAAGGAGCGGGGAAAGTGTGGTCACAACGCCAACGGAAGTACCATAAATGATGCGGACTCCACGCAGCCACTGTCGAAAACCGATATCGGTGCATCCACTATGAGACAGGCTGCTGAAAACGAGTCTGCCGACCGACAAACACCCACGAAGAGCGCGAAAATTAAAAAGTCTACCGGAATTGAGAAGTCTCGACTCAAAACAGCGGAATTGGCAAAAGATCAGAAGAAAGGTAATCTGTTGACAAAAGAGGCTAAAACGGCAGATGCGATGCAAATTTCTGTGACCAGCGAATGTGGTGTTTCCTCCACCTGTTTAGAGACTGCGGCAAGGAAGGAATATGTAAACGCTGACTCAGCGCCTCGACCGGTGCATTCGCAGTCACCATTTCAATCCTCCTCTCCATCTCCCATAGCGCCGGCGGACAACGAAAAACATGAATGTTTACTACATACGCAGGAAGACTGCAATGCAAAAAGCATCGACAATCTTGTGGTCTCAACAACGGAC